TAGTTAGAGGGCACAATGAATCTTTCCTATATCATTTACTAGGCATAGATATGACACAGTCCCATAGCCAAGCTCGCTGGCATCCGAGAAGTTGTGGATCTGGCAAAACTTGCAGGCTTGAAACACCTTGGTACCGAGATTGTCTCCAGCTGTGGCAGGTCTGCTACCCATCTGTGCCATTTCTGCAGGTCTTTAGGTCCAATATCATCATCCCACCCAATACCACGATGACACAAGTTTTGTAGGATGATCTTGCCAGGTAATACAAAAGGAGCAGCTAGTCCTATAGGATCGTAAATAGAGCTTATTACTGACAATATACCTCGTCTTGTAGATGGACGCTCTTGAATGTCTATCCCAAATTCTAGAGTATCAGATTCAACATTCCAATACACACCAAGAGCACGCTGGGTGGGGGAGATCACCATAACTCAAATTCAACTGCTTCACATTTTTAGCTTAACTGTCTACAGGAATTGATTTCAAGACCATATGGCTGTTGGTAATCCACTTGGTTAAGTTTAATCCTCCTTTGTGGCAGATACTTATCAGGTCTTGTACAACGGATATTGCCTTCGTCTCGGTATCACAGGATTTGAGGCAGTCATCTACGTAAAAGTTCTTTAGAACAGTATCAATGATTTCCAGCTTGAATTCATCCTTATTAGCTGTAGCAGTCTTGCGTAGCGCTGTATTCGAACAGCTTGGGGACGATACTGCACCAAATAAATGAACCATCATTTTATATACTTCAGGTTTTCTATCAAGTTCGCCATTTGACCACCAATAAAAACGCAGACAATCGCTGTCATGTATTGGGACCTTTACTTGATGAAACATAGCCTACTACATAAGGGCTACTGGTTCTTGCCTGAACCGCAAGAGAACACCAAGTAGGTTGTTAGTCAGATCAGGTCCTTGTAGTAACAAGTTGTTTAAGGATACACCGCACCATTTCGCAGAACAATCGAAGACTACTCGTATCTTGTCTGGTTTCTTAGGGTGGTATACCCCATGGTGAGGTATATACCAGACTCTACCGTCATCTCTATCAAGCACCTCCTGCGGAACCTGAACAGCATAATGCTTTTGAATAATATCCGACATAAACTTTGTGTAGTCAGCATGAAAC